CTGTACACATGAGAGACGAGACGGAGGAAGCATAGACGATGGCTGGAGAGTGCTACCGGTACCGGTAGGGGAGGAAAAATAATCTCGGATACAGTACCATACTCTACTTCCTCCAGTTTTTTGTACGTTGGACGTCCTTGTTCGTCCGTCCCCCAAACAAGTCCACTTTTGAGCCATCCCCACTGTACAATTGAGAATGATGTTCGCGCCATACTCATTGAGACTTAGAGATGCCAGCTCGCTCGGAAAGGTCCTCCCATTCTTCAGAAAATGACAATATTTGACACCCTGCCTCTTGTCACACCGAGAAAAGAGACTTGACGATGGCAAACAGCACCGAAGATCGCAGCAAACATGAGATTCGAGAAGCACTGAAGAAAGTGGGATTGAAGAAGGTGGATAACAAAGCTCTCATCCAATGTATGTAATGCTCGTTTGTAGTGGATCATTTTTAGCCCCTGCTGACACGTTCTCGGAATTTTAGGTGTCGCCTTGGCTTCGACGTTGAATGTTCAGCCGGAGCAAATGGCTGAGTGCTGGGAGGCATTCAGCCTGAACAAGGGTGTTTCTGAACTGACTGATCATACGCTTCAAGCATATCGGCTACAACTGATTAAAGTCTCTGAAGCATCCATTAACCCCACCATCATTCCCGGTGCAGTTCAATCAAGAAGCACGAAGCGCCAAGCGTCGAATATGGTCACCCCGCCAAATACCAAGCGTCCAAACCATCGTCAGACAGCTGCGTCCACTAATAACCCAGCCGCAAAGAGCGCTTCAACAAGTAACAAGTTGCCAAAGTATGAATCGAGAACTCGGGTCGGTGAGGTCGTCGCGTCATTCAATCTTTCTCACTTCGACCCCATTGCACCTGGGAACAAACATGCATCATGTACGATTACACCAAGCAGTGACAATATTCTTGTGCCGTATCGCCACATGTTTACAACATTGGAAGATCGAGCATCAGCTCTTGAAGCAAAACTCAACGAGCTTGGAGAACAAATCATCCGACAACATGGCATTGGTAGCGGAGACAACGGGATTGCCCCACTTGTTGAAATTAATGTTCCCGGACACGATAAGGGCTGCTACATTGGGAGAATCTGCAACGAGGCAAGTACCGATAGGAAGCACATTTTCCATCCGACTTTGTTGCGCTATGTACTCACCTATGGCTGTCGCCTAGTAGGCTCATCAAGGGAAAATGAATCAAACATCGGTTGTGATTGAAGGATCAAGCTTGTCTTGCGGTGGAGCCAGGATTAACGTCGATTTAAGCACCCTCAAGTCCGAAAAGATTCCATACTCTCTTTTTTCAGGTCAGATTGTTGCGATTGAAGGGATGAATCCAACCGGACGAAGTGTTGTGGCTCATAGAATTTGTGAGGGAGCTGCCCATGGATGTAACAAAAGTACAATCAAGGACCTTCGACATCACCATTACGAAAAGCAAGATGGATCCGCAGCAAAGGTCGTGACCGCATGTGGGCCATTTTCAACCAGTGATAACTTGGATTATCAGCCATTTGTTGATTTGATTCACGTCATAATGGAACAGTCGCCAGATGTCGTTATTCTCACAGGCCCGTTTGTAGATATGAGACACGAGGCAATAAAAGCTGGTAACGTTCAGCTCGAAGTTGACGACAACGTTCATCAAGTAGTACCCCATGAGGCGCTCTTTGCAAACAAAATTTCTGGGTTGATAGAGGAAATGTACACTACGGAAACAGAAATTTCGACTCAGTTTGTTCTTGTTCCCTCGCTCGAGGATGCGACTGCAAGAATGGTGTAAGTTTCAACTGTCACAGATTTCTCAAATCTCCATTATCTCTCAATGTCTTACTCCTTTTCGTGTTCGTCGATAAAAGATATCCTCAAGTTCCGATACAGGATCACAGTGGGCGACCTGAGGTTTTGAAGCTTCAAGGTGGAAATATGGTTGAAGTAGGCACACTTGGGTTGGAGAGACTCAATGCCGGAGGGCTCAAACGTATCCACTGCTTTTCAAATCCGTGTACATTTCGCATTAACGAAACTGTGTTTGGGGTCTCCTCTACTGATACCTTGTTTCACATCTCTGCAGAAGAAGTGAATTCCAATCTAGAGCCTGGGTCCAGGCTTCGGCGGATTGCTCAACATATGCTACAACAAAGGAGCTATTATCCCTTGTACCCACCGCCTGCTTCCGTATCGATGAATCTCGATGTCAAGAAAATGGATGGTTTCAAGATGCCTTGCAGGCCTGATGTCCTTATCGTGCCATCGAGATTGTCCCCTTTTGTAACATCGGTTTTGGAGACTTCTGTTGTCCTGAACCCTGGACACTTGACGAAGGGTCGCTCGGGTGGCACATATGCAATCATGGATATTCATCCGATCAAGAGGGAAAAGTTAGACGGTGCTGGGGACGATGTTCAGCTTTTACACAACATTCCTGATCGAGTGAATGTTGCAATAAAGCGTATCTAAAAACTTTCCAAAAAAAAGGACTACGGTTTCATGGATGAACTGGCCCATTTAGCATCGTGCTGGTATGAAAATCTAGAGAGTACAAACCTGCCGATGCAATAGTTTGACAATCCTTGAAAGACGACATTTGGATCAAGCTTCAACAAAATACATAGTTTATTTATTATATCTTAGACCAGCAGATTTATTCGTAATCAATTTTCTGACCACAAAATGTAAAAGTTGACTCCATCGTACTCCTCTGGTGGTATTGTACAAGTACCAAAAAGCTTCTTGTGAAGACTACAGAAGGCATAATTGCAGCTGGATGATGAGGCAAAAACTAGGCCACCGAATGTGGGGATCGAACCCACGACCACACGATTAAGAGTCGTGCGCTCTGCCGACTGAGCTAATTCGGCTCACTACCGGAAGAGTGCTCTGAGCATCATCAATTGTATTCGACATTCGACCGTTATTTTGAATTTTGAATCATCAGAAAAGAAAGTTCTTATCGACTTCTCGTATATGCCAAAACTGGTGCTGGGATTACAGTACCTACTTGGTGGGTTCGCAACATGCTAAAGTAAAATGCGAGCGCAAAAGTACATGAGTGATAAACAAGATTTTCCAACTTCGCTACATCTAGTGGACTTTCATAATTTACCAACGGAATTACACTGCACAACAGTTAGAACGATTCATGGTACGTCATGCTGATGCTGTTTCATCCGTCAATCTTCGTCATTGTTATCGTTGCCATCGCTAACTTGATCTATCCACCTCTATCTTTGTTTATTGCTCTCTCTATATCTATCTATCTCGCCGTATCAAATCGGATTTCGAATCCTGCAGCTCTCAATCATGCTGTTGCACCAGCGGAGAGAAGCATCACCCTGAATCATGCTTTGCATACTTTTTCCCACAACAATCCGAACCTGCATGACTATGAAATGAGTCTTGGTGTTGACAAAACCTTATGCTCGAAGCTAGGTTTCATCTCGTCTGAACGCCCGATAAATGAAGATGAAATCATTTTGATTTGCAAGTGTCTGAGTCAGGTTTACCAGTGCTCGATGGAATATAGAAAACGTTCCTTTTGGAGTGTTGGGGCTTCAGAACTTTTCCCGCTCCTTGCACAGTTATGGAACCATTTTCACTCCGACTTGGCACACGTGATGTTTCAAGATTCCAAAAAAGGCGTCGTGTTGCAGCAACTCGTCAAAGCCTTTCGGATTTTTGCCAAACTGGATATAGCGAATCCATGCCTCGTCTACTTTGAAGAGGGAAGATGGTTGAGCAGTATTATTTCATGCATACGTACAAACTTCGATCAAGCACTAGAATCCAATGACCATGATTTGCTTCATGAAATGCTCGGACTGATCAAGGATCTGACTTTCCGATCTGCTCTTCCGGAAAGAAAGGAAATGATCGGTTTGGAAGGAGGATGTTTGGTGCGGGTGCTATTTATGTGCTGCGCACGAAAAGTAACCACGACCTCCAAAATTAAAGAGGCCCTCACCGCAGTCATGTGGAATCTTGCGCTGGAAAAAAATACAAGAGAGGTGCTCCTGTTTAGAGAAGGGAGACAAACATCAATCGCAATTGACTTTCTTCTCGCCGTACTGACGAAAAACGTAATCAAGACGAGTACCAAGGAGTCAACAACAATGCTTCGAGCAAAGAGAAATGCAATCAGCGCGATTGGTAACATTTTTGCAGATGAACAGAATCATCAATTTCTATGCTCTAGCGACCACACGAAAAACGGAAAAAAAGCTCTTCGCACGCTTCTGAAACAAGTTGGAAAGGACTGCGATTCGGTTGTTAGGAGGCGTGCAATGCGTACCATCCGGTGTCTGACGCAGTCGGAAGATCCAGAAATGAGAAGGGTGATTCGTCAAGAAGAACTTGTTTTGCTCTTGGTGGATTCGATTTCTCGAAACATATCCCATGACGACGAGAACGACAGGGACATGCAGCTCCAGGCCCTTTGTGCTGTTGGCAACATGACCGACGCATTTTCCGAAACAGATTGGCCGCTGGTCGAGACGACGATTCTTCAAAGGATCGAGACAACAACTGATCCAAAGCTGATTAATGGTGCTTGCAAATGCTTGGTTGAATGTATTTCGAAGAGTCCTTGGTCGCGGGGCTCTTCATGTTTTTCTGAGATGTTTTGGATGCGTTTAGAAACAGCAGTCTCTGTTTCGAATGATTGTCATGAATGCGTGTCGACACTGATACTTGTGCTCGCTGGGGCAGAAAACGACAAAAAGGATATGGAAACAAATAAAACAAGCGTTTTGGTATCTCCGTTTATATTGAAGTGTGTGACCAAGATGTTGGAAGCTGATGGCGACGAGTACGAGAAATCCAGAAAGAGAGCACTTGACTCTATAGTGGCATTGGCAGAAAACGAGGCAAACAAAAGATGTATGGCAGAAAATGAGGATTTGCTATCAGGATTGGTCAATTTGTGCCTTTTGCAGCCTCAGCAGCCGACAAGACGGCTTGCAAAAGAACTGATACTCCAATTGGTACCGGAACTCTAGATTCATAGATGCATAGATAATGCTATGTAAACAAATCGCCGGAGCTCGAAATGACGGGCTACTGCGGATCAAGCTTTCCCCATCACCGACCTTACTTTGCTCTTCATCCCGTTAAGCTCGGCTTTGTTGACAAGGCAATTCACTGCGTCACCGCGACATCGCCACATGACAACAACGAATTTCTTGATATAGTCGTCCTCGAACCCATTCAAATAAACTACGAATGAGCCCATTGAGAGACTTCGAACTTCCGACGCAAACTCATCTGAAAAGGTCTCCAACAGAATGGTTTCTGTCTGCAGGCATTTCTCGAAATCTTCCAAATCAACGCCAACCTTACGCTTTGTCATGTGAGGAGCAACGAAATGAACACCTTCTTGCGACACACGAAATCCTACGTCACATTCCTTGTTATTTCGAACGAAGCCTTTCACACCACTTGTGACAACAGTAAGTCTTGTTTGGAGACCATCGTCAATTAGCTTTCGTATAGTCTTGGTGATGAAATAGAGGACTTTCGAATCTCCACAAGCACGACCCATGTACTGATTTGCGTCGAAACTGTCTGATGAAAGGCCGTAGTATTCTTAATAAGATAAGCGGACCAGCTTTAGACACAAGAGTACACACGAGACCACAGACTTTAAGCGAAAATCAGAATTTGGAACTGACCTTTGAGCGGTTCGAAGATTTCTTTTGAGAGCGGAATAAAGTCATCCCTGCCAAGCGATGGGTGCTTGTTCCCGTCCTTGTCAGAGAGATAGTGTTTTTTCACGTTACCAGGGGTTGCAGAAGACCTATTTTCGCTATTTAAAGGCGGCTGATTACAATCACTGGTAGCAGAAACTTCTTGGCAGTCCTTCGCGTCATTTTCATTCGCCACGGCCACTTGCTCTACTTTTGCTCGTTTCGGCTTTGGTCCATCTTCCCTTTCGGGTAATTCCGTCTTCTCTTCCAAGTCATTTTCAAGCTGTTGGAAAGCTTTCCTTGCTCGTGAGCTCATTGGTGCGACTTTCTTTAGTAGAGCAACAAAGAACCCCCCGGTGTTCATGTCCTGCGGCAAGATACGCATGCAGTGCTTTAGATTGAAGCTGGCAGTCTCTTCGTCTGTAGGAGGAAAGCAACTTTTCCGAATTCGCTTCTGCAATGCAATTGGGACCTCATCGAAAGATGTGTACTCATTAAGACCAGCCATTTTGGCCATTTTCTTCAGCTCAACACTATCATATGAAGTTGGCTTGTATGCAGATGTGATGGGAACCCGTGACTCTCCGTCAGTGTCGGATACTTTTTCAGCATCTTCCATATCCTCGTTGTCTACACCTGCCTGCTCCGAATCGCCAGTTACCTCGTTCTCTTTCTTATTTTTCACCTCCCATTCTCGTCTTCGAGCTTGCATTTTTGAGTTTTTCTTCTTCATCTTATCTTTTAGCTCACGCCTACTCTTATCTTCGCTCAGGACTTTCCAGGTTGACATTCCTGGCCTCGCGATCAGGCCAGGGAGGTCACAACGTTTATCAACAAGTTCTAAACTTCCTTCAGATGCTCGCAAGAGCTCTGCGACTACAGATTCATTTTCAATTGGATTCATGGAGCATGTGGAATAACAGACATATCCGCCAACCCGGGTCAGACTAGCTCCCTTCAGTGCGATACTCAGCTGCAGTGCGTGCAATCCAAACGCATTCAATGCGTTCCATGTCTTCCAAACGCCTGATCAAGATTGGGTTAGTAGTTCGTCGATGAGTTGTGGTGATAACAAAATTAATACTCCTCGTATCCTTTTAATCGAGTTATTGTTCTCACCTGGGTTTTTGCGTGAAGTCCCATCACCAGAGCAGGGAACATCGCATAGAACACGATCGAATGCACCCTCACTAGGATGCTCTTTTGAGCGAATCAACGGGAAGAATTGGGCATCGCAGTTGGTTACGAATAGCGCAGGGCTGTTGATCCTTCGCAGCTGATGCACAAGCATGTACGCCCGTTTGTTGTCTGAATCATTGGCAACTGTCAAGCAATATAAGAGTGTGTTTGTTGGTTGGTTGTGAATCAATCAAAAAGAAAATAGACGTACCTACCACGCCCGTTGGCTCCTTATCATTTGGATTCGCAGGTAAATTGAGTACCTCAAGCAGCTGAGAAGTCTTTGACCCGGGGGCTGCGCACATATCTTCGAGAAGTTGAGGCCAAAGGTTGAATGCAAGGATGAGGATGAGGACATTCAAACTATCGTACCTAGGACTGTATGGTGCCGTTCGGGGTTAAGAACGACAGGTGGAATCATGCTCACAGTCTCTTGTCTCGTGATGAAACCAGCCTCTGTTTGTACCTTTAGCCACTCGTGGAATGGATTGAGACTCGGGTTACGACGGATTGTCTGGCGGTCGAGATTCAATTGGTATGCATGCGGAATAAAAGTTACGTTTTTTGCTGGAGCAATCATTTTGAATTCAGATTTCAAATCTAGTTCGCGGTTTCGTCGTTCTCCGCCTTTGGGAGTCACTTCTATCTCCATCTTTTTCCCAACGTAGCTTTCAAGCTCCTTTTTAAGTCGGTCACGGAGGACAACATCAACATCACGTCCAATTCTAAACGAAGCGGGCAAAATCGATTTCATACTCTCCAGCCATTTGACTCTCTCCTCTTCCTTTTGTTCATCACTTCGACATTCCAAGAAATCATTGCTTTGACTATCGAATACCTGTTGGTGGATATCTTGATAGGCATAATAGGCCTCGAGTTTGTAGTTTCCACCTGAGATCAGTTTGTACGGGTCTTTATGTTCCCCATATTTTGAAGGATCTGCAGGCTTCGGCTTTTTCCCACCTCGGTTGTATTTGTTCTTTTGATTCCGTTTCCAGTTTCGGCCCATGATTGCTTTTTCAAACCCAAAAGTGAGAGATGAAAATAGTCGAAGCGTAACGAATAAGGTCAGCGGATCAAGGAAGTGATGGTGCTCTCAAGCCGGTTTGTCCGTTATTCCGTTATGATTCGGACGAGTCGATCATTGGGATGAATGAATCAATCAAGATACGATACAGTGGAAAATGTGTGGTTCAAAAACCATGAGTCGATCGAGTCGGGGGTGGTTTTGACTTAATCGACTACACAGAAGACGAAATTCTGCAACAAGAAACAAGAGTTCCATCTTGCACGATAAGAACTTGTTTTGATTACAATTCTTGTTATTTGAACATATACTATTTGCCTAATGTGTATAGGATATATGTGTACGTACTTTGAATTGCAAAGTTCTGTCTAGAATATATTGAATTTTGAAACATTCAATCAAGTCATCTGCTGAAATGGTGGGAAGGGGTCAACAGGAAACCAGATTTGGGAATCTCATTTCTGTTGCAGCATTGCAAAACAACACCCAAAGTCGATACATATAGGTCCTTGAAAAACTTATGTCGGGGTCCTACCGTGTCTGGATACAGACACGGTCCCTAGGATATATTCTTGGCAACTTCTGGATTGGATGCCAAATCGACTCCACAGGTCAAGTAGGTGCAGTTCAGTCACTACTACCCTGAAATTTCCCATTTCAAACCGCCAAACCGTCTTAGATATACCCCTAGACGAATAGTATAAGCCAGAATAAAGAAGTTTGACGAAATTATGTCAGATAATCAACTCCGCAGCTGTAATGAGAGCCTCAACGCTCTAGCTGCCTCTGGAGTAAATCTGAGCTTGAATTTACGTCGGCTATGGATTGCCTACAATAGGAACAGGTGCCAGTGATGCTGGGCTTCTACCTGCGGATGAACAGTCTCCCCACTTCCTATTAGATCTTATTCTACTGCTATTCTTGCCAGAAGTTGATCAACAATGATCTCCCCAAGCAGGTACAAAATATCTCTTCCGGAAGCCATCTGCGTCAGCTCTCACCAGCTATCAGGGCCTATAAACCACATACGCCGCACATGTTCTTCACAAACTAGTCACAGATCCAGATACACCTTCAATGTATCTCTCTCTCTATTTCTGTACATACTTGAACCGTACTCCTGACTGTGTTTGATTCCACGAATGTCAGACCTCACTGTCCGACGTGTTCGACTGTTCTTTTATGCATTAGAATACGCACATGTTCTTTGCTTGCAAGCTAGTCACAGATCCAGATATACCCTCAATGTATTTCTTTCTCTATTTCTATACGTACTCAAACCGTACTCCTGTCCGCGTTCGATTCCACAAATGTCCAACCTCACTGTCCGGCATGTTCGACTGTCCTCCTTTTATTCATTAGAATCCCATTTCACCAACTCACTCCTGTCGTTTTGACAACTCCAGTTGCGACAACTAATCCTTTCTTCATTTAATATGCAACGTGTATATAAGACCAACAATGGTCATATCTAATCTTCTTGATCTCCTTGGATCAATGCACGAGACTTGCGGAACTTTTCTCCTTGCAAAGGTTTTGTCATATAATCCCCCCACATGTCATGTGTCAGCATGTGTTCGATTGTAAGATTTCCTTTCTCAACCTGATCGGTGACAAAGAAGTAACGGATGTTCAATGCTGGACTTCTCTTGCCAGCACTTGACCTTCCGTTCTTTTCAAGTAGAATAGTAGCTAGAGCTCATATTATCTTGATACAAGATATTCTTCTCAATTGGATAACCCTGTTCTTCCATGAACATGCATGTCCACAACACTTGTGTGATCGCATCGTCTACTCCGATTAGTTCAGCATGCGTATGCTGCGACTATTCAGTTTCTGTTTCTTCAACATAGCCTGCATAGCTCCACCACCCATGGTCATCACTCCTCCTGTGTGACTCTTGAAGTCAGGGTGAACCGCAAAAGATGCATCGACAAACCACTTCATCACTCGAAGGTTGTCAGCGCTCAGAGAAAGATGCCACTTCTTGGTTGAGTGCATATATCTCATAAGTCTTAGGCGTTTATGCCAATCACTTTGATTTGGGTTTTGAACTTGTGACGCCAAAATTGCCACCGTCGGATGCATAACCAGACGCGCACATTTGGTCAAAAACAAATGTTTTGCAACAAACCTGTGAAACTCAATCTGTTGATCCTTGTCCAAAAGTCTCCCTTTTCCTACCTCCAGCAAATTATTGCCAGCAGGTGTTTCCTGTTTGTTGTCTTCCTTAAACCGGGTGTTCTGGCTGAAAAAAATCAGCAGTTGTCAGCAGTTGGCTGAATTCCCTGCTGAACTGCTGAATTTTTTCAGCAGTTGGCCTGAATTCCAAGACTCCGTTGTTGCAGATTCTATTGCGTCCATGTCACTTTTTTAACGGTGAAATTGTGGAGACAAAAGGTACATTTTTAGCTTCTATGTACGACATACAGGCGGGTTTCAGCAGAACCTCCCTCTGTTGCAGGGAGACACTTCGCTCGTTTACGTGCGACCGACAGACGGGGCGGGTTGACCGCATCAAGAAGACTGGAGTGAGTGGCTTCAATGCTCAATGCTCGTACTGAATACAGTATTGATATGAAATATTTACGGTACAAGTATCATGAATGAGAATCATCTCTTGAAAGCTTTTAATAGTTTCTGCCGAACAATACCATGTTGAGAGCTTATTGATAATTTCCTCGTATTCATATCTATTCTTCTATCTAGCTTGAGCTGCTGTTAGAGAGTTTGCCTATTGAGACGATCTCGAATCATTGATTGCAAGCTCTATTATTACAAGAGTTTTAAAGTTTTGAAGAGAGAAGATAATTTAACTGGTTGGCCAGATCTATTGTTGAATTGAGGAAGAGTCATTTCGTTTTACATTACAGCTTCGTCATTGATCCTTTTGGTTGCCCAACCAGAGAATCATCGGAATCCAGATGTTTAAAGAGAGAGTCTCGCACACATTCTTTGCGTTGCCTAGAAAGCTCTGCCTTTGCTTTTTCCAAGTCTCTATTCCGGAAAGCAAATGTACCATCGCGCCTTCTAACCAATGGAGATAGCTCTGTTCCAAGTCCTAGCCGGGTTCTGCTCTTTCGCTTTTGTGGAGTCTTGTTCTTGGATGATTTGCCACCAGCGCCACCCTTTCCCGGTTCTCCAGGGGTTGCGGAATCGTCCTCTGCAATGGACTTCAAGCCTTCCTCACCCACCGAAAGTGTACTCATTTCAAACGAATTCTTCAATTCAGCGGTTGATTCCTCTGTGTCCACTTCAGGAGGTCTTGGTTCAGGCTCGGAAGGTTCTATAGGAGCTTCCGTAACGACCAGATCGGGTATTTGTTCTGCTGCTTTTGCTCCTTCTTTTGCGTCTCGAAGCCCGACCAAGTAGGCTTCTCTTAGGAGGGGAGTTACGATTTCGGTGTAGATTTCTGCAATAATGTCTCCATCGTATATATCTTCGTCACGCTGTTCGTCTTGCTCATCCAGCACCGCGTCAATGGATGCAATCATCTTCTCCGCACGATAATCTGCAACATCTTCTTCCACCAAATGCTCGAGACCACGGATGCACAGTTCTTCTCCATTGTATGTTTCTTTGCCGTTTGCGATCAGCTGCGCAATTTCACTGACTTCTTCTGACATTCTCATAAAATCCTTCTTCCGGTACCACCCATTTATGATTTCATCGTCATCAAAGTCAGCGACATGGCGAATCGTTTTGAACTGCACTCTTCCATGGAACCGAACTTTCCGCTTCTCCTTCTCGCTTTCTTCGCTCATATCGCTGCCAGTGTGGATCTATTTATGTCTTCGAGTTGAACTTGTGGTGATTTGGTACCTTGGGTGGTGGTTAATTTGAGTATTCAGTAGTATGTTGCAGCATAAAAGATTCTGCGGCACAGCTTGACCATTAGGATTCTTGTCGATCCACCATAAAAACTTGCGGAGTTGGTTGGCTCGTCAATGTCTAAAGGAATGACCGTTGCAATGTCTGCTCGTTATTCAACGTGCGCGTGTCGCGCAAATTAGAAAATATGATACAGGAGCGGGCCCGCACGAAAATTTGGGGGGTTCAGGTGGCTATCTTGGGGGTAAAGAAAAAAAGGAAAAAGGAGAGGGGAAAAAAGGAGAGGGGAAAAAAGGAGAGGGAAAAAAAGAAGAGGGGAGATTCCGTTTTCCACCTCCTGTTCTGAAATCATATTCAATCCTTCGTGACTGCTGAAAAACGAATGGATGCTTATTAGGGGGGCGATCAAGAAAACATAGAGAATTAATAAATTTAGCAGGGGGTTGACACGGGGGTTCTGTTAAAAAGACATGTCTTTTTATATACGCAAAAGACATTCTGCAAGACTCGCAACATAGCTTGGTTGACCAATCATCTGTTGTTCTTGAACTTCAAGTTCAATATAATCTTGACTACATGGAACGAAACGCGGTTGACTGGATTGAATGCGTGAAGTAGCTCAGCCAATCAGAAATCTTGCAAGCTATACACTTTTTAAACTTGTCTCGAGTCCTCCGAAAAACTAATTGTTGTACCGGTATGACATCACTCCTCCAACATAGAATCGTTCTCAATCCATGGTACAATAATTGAACACAGGGGAAACGCGGATGAAGCAAATACTGCTAGTGCTACTACTATAACAAATCAATCATTTTGATACTGCATCTAGCATTTTAATTCTCCCCAGCCATACTCCTTGTTGTAGTAACCCTGCACCTTTGGGCACCATAGATCGTGAGGTGGTCTCCCGACCACTGAACCGGACTTGGACCGCTCAAGGTATCCTGCAAATCTTGTGCAATTGAAAGGGTAATTTGGAAAGCATCTGGACTTGCAAACAGTCCGGCTATGTGGTGCGGATTGATTCGTGAAAAAGGCACATAGATTCGGAGTCAAGGCAAATTGATTCGGAGTAAAAAAACCACTGGTCGTTGAAGCATGCACAGGATTGAAAGTTGGATTGTTTTGAAGCCATTGCAACAGTGTGCTGTGATCTGCTGCTTGTTGCTGCATATGCTGCTGAGGTAAAGGCTGTGCTGCTGCAGCTGATCGATCGACCGCTCTGGCAATACCACTCCTCCTCCTGGCAACACTTGTTGTTTGAGGCGATTTGTACTTGTCCTTGCAGTCTTCGCAAAGACAAACCTTAGTTGAAGCAACAGTTCCCTCTTGTTTGTTTCTTTCCATTTGGTCGGTGCAGTAATCGGAAAAGAAAACTTCCTTCTTGTTTCCAACCTCTGGAACTCGACACTCTTTGAACAAGGCACCAAAACCAAGCGATGTAGATTGTTGGTTCAAATGGTCTAGCAGGGAATGGTCCATGAAAATGGGCGTTCGGTCCATGTATTCTGGATGCGGTAATCTAGAACCTTGTTGGCGTTGCACCATGCAGTCATATCTCCACCTCGCCCCGATGTTGTGCTCAGCCGTACCTCGGGCAATGAGAGCATTCGCAAACTCCGATTTGCAACCAATATTTGCAAAATGGGCCAATAGTTCATGAAAGTTCTCCAAGCTTGACTCAGCTCTTGAGCTCCTCCATTCGGTCAGCCCATGCTCGGCACTTGATTTCACTCCATGGTAGGTGGCTGCACCTTCATGATCCAATACGTATGGAACCTTTGAAAACTGTTCTCTTGTTGTGTCCTCTGTCTTGTATGTGAAGACCTTTCGATCGCTATCGTCACTGACATCTATCCATGCTTT